GCTTCTACGTCACCAGGGCCAACATCCTGGACGCGGGCGTCGGGCCGACCGAGGGCTGCGTCGCCTGCGAGAACCTGGTGGCTACTGGGCGCGCAGGAGTTGCCCACTCTGAGCTGTGCCGACAGCGCGTGATCGAGGCGCTGGCGGCTCGAGGTGATGAGCGACTTCGCCGGTTCAGGGAGGCGAAGGCAGCTGAGGAGGAGCAGGCGAGAGGAGGCGAGGCAGGCCGAGCGGCGCCAGGAGCCGCCGCCGCCGCGCCGCTTCCCCCACCAGCCCCGAGAGACCTCGAGGGCAGGAGAGGCGCGAAGCAGGCGCGGGCGGATCCGCCGCCCGTGGGGTCTTCGGCGCCGCGCGTCAGGAGGCGCGAGGAGGAGCAGCCGCCCCAGGAGGCGCGCGCAGCCCCCCAGCCTATGGCGGTGGACCTTCGGGGCGCGGCCCCGAGGCCAGCAGGAGGAGGTGCAGGAGCGCCGCTCGCGCTCCCTGCGCCGGCCGGGTTAACGTCACCCCAAACGGGCCCTGGAGGCCCGGCGCCAGCATCCGCGGCGGCTTCGGGCTCGGGAGGCCCGGCGCCGGCGGCGGCAGCACCAGGCCCAGGAGGCGCTGGACCTGCTGCCATGGAGACGGGCGGACTCGAGGAAGTGCCGCTCGAGTTGCAGTCGCTCGCGTTCTCGGAGTACTGCAACCCAGGATGCTTCACTGAGCTTGCTGGGGAGTTTGGCATGCTCCCAGGGCTGGCGGCGGACATCAGCCTCAAGGACCGGGAGTCTCAGGAGGCGCTGGACATGAGGAAGATCGTGAACCAGCAGAGGTACATGCAGGCGCTCGAGGACCAGGACCCCTACTTGGTCATCGGGGCGCCGCCCTGCACGCGCGTCTCGAAGCTGACGAGCTTGAACCGCGGCAAGTACAAGGACCCGGAGGCGCGCGCCAAGGCCGAGGAGGACGATCGTGCGTTGCTTCGCTTCGGGATGGAGGTCTACAAGGATAGGCGCGCCAAGGGCAGGTGGTTCTTGCACGAGCACCCTTGGGACGCCAAGTCGTGGGACGACGAGGCGGTGAAGGAGGTGGTCTCGCTCCCGGGGGTGTACCTCGTGCGAGGGGACATGCGCGCCTGGGGCCTAGAGCTCAAGGGCGACGACGGGAAGGTCGGGCCGGTCAAGAAGAGCACCGGCTGGCTGACCAACAACGAGCGCCTTGCTAAGGTGCTAGCAGTCTGTTGTCCTGGAGGACATCGACACGTACCGCTACTTGGCGGAGGCCGTGCTAGGAAGGCGCAGTCCTACACGCCTTCGCTACGCCGCGCGATCTTGCAGGGGCTCAAGGAGGAGCTCGAGATCGCGGGCGAGATCAACTCGTTCGAGGGCGTCGGGCCGGTGCCAGACGAGGAGGCGCAGTACTTCAAGCCAGACGCCCCTCCAGGTGCAGCGGAGTCGGACAAGTGGTACTGGGACGACGTCAACGGGGGCTGGCTCGACCCTGCGGGAGTACGGGCCGCGCGCCAGGAGGAGCTGGCCTGGATGAAGCATCGCGAGGTGTTCGAGCCGAGCGACGAGGAGACCTGCAGGCGCCTGACCGGTCGGGCGCCGCCACGGACGCGCTGGGTCGACACCAACAAGGGCGACGAGCAGAGGCCAAAGTACCGCTCCAGACTGGTCGCGATGGAGATCAAGGCTGCGAAGAAGGCGTCCGAGCAGATGAGCGCGAGCGAGCTCTTCAGCAGTGCGCCGCCGCTGGAGGCGGTCAAGCTCCTGCGCTCGCTCATGGTTTCGATGGGCCGCTCGCCCCGAGGACTCCCTCTCAAGATCGGCTTCTGGGACGTCAGCCGGGCGCGCCTGCACGGGGACGCCCAGAGGGTCTTGTTCGTTCGTCTTCCGGAAGAGGAAGGAGGAGGAGTCGCTCGCCTGCCACGTTCCATGTATGGTACTCAGGACGCGGCTTCAGTGTGGCAGAGCGACTGGAGTCGACAGCTCTTGGAAGATTCGTGGCGCATGGGCGTGGCAAGCCCAGCTGTGTTCTATCGTTCTAGTGATGAAGGTCGCGGGTTGGCTCACGGCGACGACTTCATGGTGCTCGGCGACGAGATCACGCTGAAGGAGATCGAGACGAAGCTGACCGAGCGCTACGACATCAAGTGCACCGGGATCTTAGGTCCCGACAGCGGGGACGCGAAGGAAGTCGCGTTCCTCAACAGGGTGTTGCGGTACGTTGACGGCTCCACCCCGGCGGTGGAGATCGAGTCGGACCAGAGACACGTGGAGCTGCTGATCAAGGAGCTCGGCCTCGAGAACGAGTCGAAGGGCTTGGACGTGCCGTCGGTCAAGAAGACGGAGGCGGACGTCGACTACGAGGCGAAGCTCAGCACGCTGCCCCTGGACGAGGTTCGCCGGTATCGAAGCGTGGTGATGCGTGCTGCCTACCTCACCTTGGACAGGCCAGACATCGTCGACGCGGTCAAGCAGTGTTCGAGGCGCATGCAGGCGCCGACGTCAGCAGACACGATGATGGTCAAGAGGCTTGGGAGGTACCTCGTCAAGCACCCGTGCCTAGTCGCGAGGTTCAACAAGCAGAAGATGCCTGACAGGATCACGGCCACCTGCGACTCGGACTATGCGGGCTGCCTCATCACCAGGAAGTCGACCAGCGGGACCGTCCTGGCGTTCGGGGAGCACACGCTGTCGGCCACGGGATCGCTGCAGAGCACGGTGTCCCTTTCGAGCGGCGAGGCCGAGTACTATGGCATCCTCCGTGCGGCTGCTGCCGCGCTCAAGGTTGCTGCCATCGCCGTGGACCTCGGGCTCGAGAAGAGCGCCGAGGTCGTCTGCAAGCACGGAGAGTTCCCGATAGAGGTCTGCGGGGACTCGACGGCGGCGATCGCGTTCGCATCGCGCCAGGGCCTGGGTCGTCAGAAGCATGTGATGACGAGGTACCTGTGGCTTCAGAGCGCGGTCAAGGCCAAGAGGATCATGCTCAAGAAGGTCGACACACGGGAGAACGTGGCCGACTCCTTGACCAAGCCGTTGTCGGCGAAGGTGGTCCAGAAGCATCTCAAGAGGATGGGGCACCACTTCAGGTCGAGGTGGAGCGCCCTGCACCGGACAATCGCCAAGAGATCGGCGACGTGAGGTTCATGAGCGGGGTGCTGTGCCAGCTTTTCGTGATGGGCACGTTGCCCGTCCCACCATTTTCCTGTCGCCTCGCGACGCTTGCACGACCGGCCTGTGCGGCGAGACGGTGCCTGGTGGTGGCTGCCTAGCTTAGGGGCTAGTTGCCAAGGAGGAGTGCTGAGATCGGGCACCGTCGGATTCTGTGTACGAAGCCTTTTGGCCCGAGAGGCTTTCGGCTTGGAACGGACTGAGAAAAGGTTCATCAGTTTCTCTCTTCAGACGAGGAGGCGTTTCGTGGGACGTTTGCAGCGGGAGGCCTCGTCAGAATGCAGGCTCGGCCGCGTCATTTTTTTGACGACCTCGTCGGGGATTCCCGAGTCCCCCGTACCCGGGTCTTACGTCTCCCCGAGTGCTGCATGCCAGCTCTGGCGCCACACCCCTTCATGCCACGCCCCTCTCCGACCTCCAAGGGCGCTGGTGCGTGCCCTCCGCGCGGCGGCGCGAGGATCCCTTCGGGCCGCTCCCTGGCGGCTCCACGCTGGGGAGCCTGCTCGTGGCCGACGCTCGCCGTGCCCTCGGGGAGCAGGGGCGTCAGGAGGAAAAGAAACACACAGACACAATTAATCGTCGGTTCCCCAGAAAATATGAGAAAACATAGGAAGTGGGTTGGAAGACAGAAACCCAGAAAATATGGGAAAATATGGGGGATCGTTTTATTTGTGTGTATTTATTTGTGTGTCCCAGGGCCCCTTCAGGGACGGACATACAGACATGCACATTACAACTCGCAGGTCCGCGCTGGTTTGTCGGATCGGAGCTGGAGGCACCGACAGGGGTCCCCAGCGCCGATCCGAGAAGTCCGCGCGGAGCGCCGCATGCTGATGTGTATCGATTGGCGATCGACCCAGCCGGCCGCCGTGCCGTGATCGTGGGTCAGAGTCCTCAGGGATGCCTCTTGAGGTCTCTTCGGGGCGCCCTCGGGGGTCTCTTGTGGACAGTGTTGGGGACCTCCTGGGCTTGGGAACAGTTTGGGGGCCTCTTTGGGGCCTCTTGGGGACCTTTTAGCAGCGTCTTGGGTGCCTCCTGGAGGCCTCCTGGTGGCCTCTTGGGGGCCTCTTGCGCCTCTCTGGAGCCACGCGGGCGCCTCCTGGGGCCTCCTGAGGGCCTCTCGACTCCGAGGGCTCAACATGCCGATTCGGGTTCCCCATTCGGGCCCCCTCCTGGAGCCGTATTGGGGGCCTCCGTGGGCCGTCTTGGAGGCCTCCTTGGCCGTGTTGGGACACCCTTTGGAGGCTTCGTGGGCCGGCTTGGGGCGATCTTGGGGGCCTTTTACCCAAGCTGCTTGGAATGTCGGGCAGCCGACAGGCCAGGAGTCAAACCGAAGAGTAATCGATGATGTTTGCCTGCCCCCTTGGCCCGTTTCGGGACCCCCTCGGACAAAGTCCTGCGGGAACGCTCCCTGGGGCCCAGCGGCCACGCGACGCGCTGTGGCCGATTGCAACTTGAGGATTGACGGCTGAGCCGGGTGCTGGCCCTCTTCGGGGTTGGACAGACCTCCTACCCTGACACGTCGATTAAGGAATTGGCCGTTTTCGGTTCGCAAGAGGGCGTCGCGGCCGTCATTTTTGCGGGTCCAGGTCCGTCGGTTTCGGTCCCAGGCCGTTTTCACTAAGGGGAGGTCTACTAAAGGGAGGTTTGTCCACCGCCGACCTTTGCACTCTGAGGACTGACGACCGAGGCTCCGGGGGCGGAGGGGTCCGGCAGCGACAAGGGGCCTAAGACACTCCAGCTCGGGCCTCAAGGGCACGGCTGCGGGTGCCAAGGATCACAATTCCGTCTTTTCTTCTTCAGCGTTTCTTATGATAGCACGATTGATGTAGTGGGCGCGCCCCTGAGGCTGGCGGCCGAGGCGAGCCTGGCAGCTATCCACATGCAGACCTCAACCGGCAACGACATCGCGGGCGGACGGAAGGATGCACAACACATTGGCTTCCGCCTTGAGGGACCATTGTCCAGGAATCTGTGAACAAGCAGTGACATGAACGCAGAACATCGGAGGTCCGCGCTGAGTTCTCGGATCGGCGCTGGACCCCCCTCCGTGTCGCCCGGAGCGCGCCAGGGACGGCGCCGGAGGCGCCGACAGGGGGTCCCAGCGCCGATCCAACAAATCTGCGCGGAGCTTCAAAAGTTCATGTTTATGTAATTGTTTGTTTCCCAATCTCCTGTCCAGGAAGCAGATCTGGGTTTTCCAGATGGGGTCCGAGCAGATGGGGTCGAAGGATCGCTCCGCATCGCCGATGCACCAGCGATGCGGCTCGAGGTGGAGCCATAACTTCTCCACGCCGACAGTGCCGATGCATCGCCGACGTTGCCAGTGCATCGGCGATGCATCGGTGATGCATCGGCGATTCGGCACGATCCTCCGACCGACGCCATCTAGTCCGACCCCATCTGGGATGCCTGCAGCTTCCACCGTGAGGGGCTTCTGCCCAGGAAGTAGAGGGAGAAAGAGGGATGACGAGGAGGGAGGGAGACTTACACACAAACACACACACGCACTAATGAACGCTGATTTTCATGAGAAGATTTGGAATTATGGGAAATGGCGGGGAAGCGGAACATCCAGGACATGTGTAACAGATTTGGTAATCCTTGAATTTGTGCCGGTCTGTGTTTGTGTCCCCTTGGGCCCTTCTAGCTGCCCTTTCTCCGATGCTCTCCCCGAGCCTACTCCACAGCAGCAGCGGGTGCAACCAAGCCGCGCAGGCTCGCAATGCGGTGCGCGTCGAGCTCACGTAACATGAGCGCGTGCACCGAGCAGCAGCCTGGTCAGCAGAGTCGACAGGGGCCCTGGTGCCTGCTCCCACAGTGGGCGGAGGTCCTCAAAAGAAAGAGCGTTGGGCGAGGAGTCATGCTGAGGTGCAGCCCCCTCCTGAGACTGGACACTCGGAGGATTAGCCCTGAGTCGTCAGATTCCTGGTGCTTGACAGCTGACCCAGCTCCGGGCCTGTAACAACGGTGCGCATACGCCATGCACTGCATACGTAGAAGGCTGGGGGCCTCCAAGCATCCAAGGCCTCTCAACTACATCAACACTCCCACTTAGGCTGCGTCCAGCAACCGTTGAAGCTCTGGGATGTGGAGGACAATGAGGAGGGAGGGGAGAGGGCTAAGGAGGGAGGAGGGAGGGGAGGAGGGGGAAAAGGAGGGAGAAGAGAGGATGAGGAGGTGGACGACGACGACAGCGGCTGCGACTACGACCACGAAGACGACGACGACGACGACGACGACTGCCTCGACTGCGGCGACATCGAGAGGGCTCCTGGGTCACCCGCGGGCGTGCGACAGTAGGCGCGCCTCGCGCCGCGCGGTCTGGGCGGAAGCGGGTGTACGATCGTCCTGTTTGTATGACCACGCGTGGTCATACAGCAAGGCGTCGGTCTGGCCGGCTGCCGTCTTGTCTGTGTGATCGCCCGCAGTCGTACAGCAAGGCGTGCTGTTCCATCTCAGCGGCCACCACTCACTGGCAACTTCGGGAGGGAATTGAGGAGGAGGAGGAGGAGGAGGAGGAGGAGGAGGTATCGACCCCCAATCGCCCATGAAGCGCCGATAGAAGCTCGGTAGCTCGCCGCCGCTCGGGACCGTGCGGATTCGTCATCGGGGGGCCCACCTCCGATCCATCGGCGATGCGCCGCCTCTCAAGCGGAGTGTTTCCCCTCCGCCACCCCCCCTACACGTCGCCCCTCTCTCTGGGTCGTATCGCCCATCTGTGGGGGATGTGTCCCCGGTGTCCCCGTTCGAGCTCGACGTTTCCCCACCGAGCTGGGGACCCCGCCACGGTGGAGCGCCCCAATTTCTCAGGAGCGAGAGGGGGACGCACAGGCCCATGAATCCACATTGGTTTCGAAAGGACGCACAGCGCGATCGTGCGCATCACGAGGCGCGCCTCTCGCGGACCTGGGGGGCCACACTCATGCACGTGGCTGTGCGCGTACGTCCCTCTTTGTGGGCTCCCGAACTTCGTGCCGTCCCTCCGCGCCGCCGGAGCATCGTCGATGGCAACCTCCGCGTTCAGGCCGAGGGGCCGGCGGCACGGGCCTGCGCGCGGGTGGAGCCGACGCTCGGCTGGGTGGCGGCCTCGGCGGGCGCCTACGCGGCAGAGGCCTGCGCTGGAGGAGGGCGGAGGGCGTCACTCGACTGCACGCAGGAGAGACCCTTCGCTGGAGCGACCGTTGGTGCGGGCCCACCGGGGGTCCCCCGATCGCTGAACACGATGCGGCAGCCTTGGCTTGCGTGCCTGGGCGTGGCCCCCTTCAGGCCGCGCACCAAAGGTTCTGCTTGCCTGTGGTTGCTCCTGCGTTCAGCCGGGTCACGAGCGGCGAACGCGTTCCTCTCCGCGCCCTCGTGGTCTGGATTCTTGGGCGCGAGATTCCGCTCATGCGCGGTCGCACGGATACGTTCCGCGCGGGGCATCCGCTACGAGACGCCCCGTCTTCGCGGTGTTCGGGCCCAGGGGCCCAGTTCGCGAGGCCGCGGACGCTGATATCTTTGTTCGCTGACGAGGGCGCAGGAGGGCGCAGAGCGGAGGAGAGCGTAGGAAGGCGGAGAGGGGGGAGGGCCAAGCTAGGTGCGCTCGCGCCTTCTCTGACATCCTTTCTTCAGGAGGGGAAACAACACACAGACACAATTAATCGGCGATTCCCAGAAAATATGTGAAAATATGGGAAGTGGGGGGGAAGACAAAAACCCAGAAAATATAGGAAAATATGGGGAATGTTTTTATTTGTGTGTATTTATTTGTGTGTCCCAGTTCCCCTTCATTTCTCTCCCTCCCATCCCTTCCCATTGCGCTGTTCTTTCCCTATCTGCCGACGCGTCTCGTAAACCTATGAAGCGATGAAGGACCCCCCCTTTCTGGTGAAACGAGAATGCATCCAGCACCCAGAAGCGTTATCCTGGCATCTGGAGGAGGAGGAGTCGGAGGAGGAGGAGGAGGAGGAAGGAGGATGATTCTTGGGATTATTGAGGATTCCCCGTGATGTGTTTGACTCCCTGCGATTTCTACTGCCATTGCGACGGGTAGTACTACTATCATTATCAATAGGAGGCTGCGGGGTGAGATCGCAGTGGAACGGAGACCCCCAACCGGGAAATCGTTTCGTTTCGTTCGTGTCGTGCGTGCGGGCGAGGCGAAGCTGCGTGGGCGCGCGAGAGGAATGAACCCGCCGTTGCTAGGGCGAAGTCAAGACAAATGATTCTCTCCCGCCCTCCCGCCCGTCCGGCGGTGGCTCGCGGTGTCCCGCAGTGTCCCGTGGTGTCCCGGGGTGTTCCGTGGTGTCCCGTGGTGTCCGCCGTTGGTAGGGCGAAGTCAAGACAAATGATTCTCCCCCGCCCGCCTGTCCGTCCGTCCGTCCGGCGGTGGCTCGTGGTGTTCCGCGGTGTCCCGTGGTGTCCCGTGGTGTCCTCTTGAGTGAGATCGATAGTGAGAACGAGATTGAGATTGATACTGAGATCGATACTGAGATCGATGTGGTGCCCCGAGGTGGGCACCCGTGGTGTCCCAAAAAGTTGGATCGATTGTGAGATCTACAGGTGTCCCGTGCTGTCCCGTGGTGCCCCGTTGAGTGAGATCGACAGTGAGAACGATAGTGAGATCGATACTGGGATCGATGTGTGCCTTGAGGTGTCCCGTAGTGTCTCAAAAAGTGAGATCGATAGTGAGATCGACAAGTGTCACACTGTGTCCCGTGGTGACTCGTTGAGTGAGATTCATAGTGGGATCGATTGAGTCAGATGTTGGTTCCCCCCGTCTCCCCCCCACAACCCCCGTATCAACCGAAGGGTTGTCGTACAGGTACTACTCGTATTACTACTGTCTGGCTCATTTCTATTACTAACAGTAGTCCTACTACTAGCATTCGTGTCATTACTACTGCTAGCACTCGTAATATTATTTGTAGTAGTAGGAGTCGTAGTAGTAGTAGTAGTAGTAGTAGTAGTAGTAGTAGTAGTAGTCGTAGTAGTAGTAGGTAGTAGTAGTAGTAGTAGTAGTAGTAGTAGTAGTAGTAGTAGTAGTAGTAGTAGTAGTAGTAGTAGTAGTAGTAGTAGAAGTAGTAGTAGTAGTAGTAGTAGTAGTAGTAGTAGTACTAGTACTAGTACTAGTACTAGTACTAGTACTAGTAGTACTAGTACTAGTACTAGTACTAGTACTAGTACTAGTATCGTAGTCGTAGTCGTAGTAGTAGTAGTAGTAGTAGTAGTAGTAGTAGTCGTCGGACTACTACTACTGCAACTATGAATACACAACTACTCGACTACTGCACCCTCGTACTACTACAAAACTACTGGTTCTACTAGTACTGTCTAACTCTCGCTTCTACGCTTACGACTACTATCAGTATTATCCGGACGAATACGATTAGTACTATTGCTTCTGCTACTACTTCTTCTACGACTACTAACTACTACTGCTACTACTACTACTACTACTACGACTACTACTACTACTACTGCGACTACGACTACTACTACTACTACTACTACTACTACTACTACTACTACTACTACTACTACTACTACTACTACTACGACTACTACTACTACGACTACGACTACGACTACTACTACCACTGCCGTTAGTATTTCGCTGAGTACGACAAGCATTACCCCAATGTATTACGATTTCTACGACTACTTCTGCTACTACTACTTCTACGATTGTGACGACTGCTACGACGACGACGACGACGACGACGACTACTACTACTACTACTACTACTACTATTTCTATTCGTACAACTGCTATTAGGACTATTACGACGACGAGGGCTCTCAGTATTGCTACAACCACCAGTATTACGATTCCTACGACTATCCCAAGCACTATTTCTCTAGCTCTGTCTACAAGGACTCCGACTACGATGTTGACTACAAGTACTACTACAGCCACGACAACTACTACACTCTCCACCGCTACTACTACTACTACTACTACTACTACTACTACTACTACTAAGACTACTACTACTACTACTACTACTTTTACTATCATCATCACTGCTACTACGACTACTACGACTACAGCTACGAGTTTCGATAAGACTACTACGAGACGGTACTACTTTTACTACTACTACCACTACTACTACTACTACTACTACTACTACTACTACTACTACTACTACTACTACTACTACTACTACTACTACTACTACTACTACTGCTGCTGCTGCTACTACTACTACTACTACCATTCTTACTAATACTACTACCGCCGCCATTGCCACGTATGGTTCTATTACTACGACTTCCACCACTCGTATTGATACTACCGCTGCAGCGACGTCAGCGATTATTACTGCGACTACTACGACTAGTACGGCTACTACCACTGCTACGATTACACTCACTACTACTACCCTTGTACCTACTACTGCTTCGGTTACTACTATAAAAATGACCACTACCATTACCCCTACGACAATGTTATTACTGCTACACATGCTACTGCTACTACTCCTCGTATGACTGCTGCTACTACTTTTACGATTACGACTCGCAGTATTACGTTCAATACGACTATTGCCACTTCCAGTTATCACGATTAATGCGACTACGAGCGCGACCATTATTATCATCTTTTCCACCTCTATTGCTACTACTGCTTCTACCTGTTCGTCTACGCCTACGGCGACTAGTAGTATGATTACCACTTCTACTACTACGACTACTAGTACTACTCTTCCTGTTACTACACCACAACGAAACGATTACCACCACTACAACTATAAGTACGACTGGTATGACTACGGTTATTTCCACTACTTCCCTTACCACCTACTATCACTACTAGTATGATTACTACTACTACTACTACTACTACGACTACGATTGCTATCCTTACTACGATTGGTATTACTACGACGGTGACGACGACTACTACTATGACTTCTACGACTGTTTTCGTATCCATCTTATTGTTACTACTACTACTACTACTACTACTACTACTACTACTACTACTACTACTACTACTACTACTACTACTACTACTACTACTACTACTACTACTACTACTACTACTACTACTACTACTACTACTACTACTACTACTACTACTACTACTACTACTACTACTACTGCTATTACTACTGTTGTTATTACTTCCACCACTGCCACTACCACTACCACCTACTACTATTATTACTACTACTACTGCTACCACTACTACGACGACTACTACTACTACTACTACTACTACTACTACTACTACTACTACTACTACTACTACGACTAAGATTGCTACGACAGCTACTACTGTCACGACGCGAATTTTTCAATTACGTCGCTCCCCGGTGCAAAGATATCGTTTCGTGCGGAGGGGGGTGTTATATTTTGGGATCGACAAGCTCCCAGGACGGCCGACGGAAGACAATTTGTGTCATTGGGGATTGAAGAAGGACGCGCGTAGGAAGTGAGCTCCAACACGCTTTCAGTGAATTGAGTGCCGTGGGAAAAACCAGCACTGTCATCGTACATTCTCGTGCGACGTCGAGAATATTAGCACGTCACGGTTTCCATGCCTGCGCTGGGGGGCAATAGTTGTTCAGTGTTCTGCGGTTGGGAAGGCGGAGGACGGGGCATGAGGGGGGCGACAACAACGAAGCACGATTCGGATCCAGAAAAGTGTCCCGATCCGAAAATGAGGCTGGCGCTGCAGCGGGAGCGCCATGATGAAACACCGACTGCAATCATATTGTCAACAAGAAACCATGAAACATCTATGTTTGAAATTCTGTGCGTAGAAAAACTTTTACGCAGCAGGGGCCCGGTATCTTCCAGACGGAGTCACGAGGAGAGCGGTAATCATATTGTATAGGCTCGAGGGGGGACACAGCAGCTCCAGAATGCCGACTGCTCGGCTGTAGGGGCCCGATCGCCCGTCTCGCCCAGATTTGTTGTTGTGAGCCTATCGCCGACCTATTGGCGATGCATCGTCGGTTCGCAGTCCACGCTTCTTTCCCATATCATTTCCCCCCATGCCGCTGCCTCTCAGGAGGGCGGAGGGAATGAGGAGAGCGGATGGCGGAGGAGGAGGAGGTCTGCCACGGGGATGCGATATGTAGGAGGACGATCAAGACATGCGAGGGTGGGGGCGTCACG